TTCGATCCTAAACCCCAGGCCCATTTTTTTCCTCATTGAATTTTATGCCCATCTTAACGTGTCTTTTTCCCCCATAAAACCAAAAAATCATATACGATTCCCGAACTTCGATCCATCCCCCCTTTTTTTTTCGGTTTATTTTTTTTTATACCCGTTTTTTACCCTTGAACCATCATTTCATCGACCTAACGGTTTCCTCTTCAGTTTTCAAAAAATTTTTTCGGGGGTTTTTTCTAATAAGGGTTTAATTTTTAAAATAAACGATCACCTTTGTCAATTAGGCAAACCACAAAATGCACATAACTCCCAATTTGTTCAAAAACTTTTTAATTTTATAAAATCTGCTATTTTTCTAACCAAATGCTTTAGACCAATAAAACAGTATAGGCCCCGGGAGAGTAAACAACCCCTAAGGAAATTGATAGGGTATAAAGCCCTTATTTCACCTGAAGCCCCCGAAGGTGGGAGTTCTTAAATTTTCATAGAAAAAATTTCCTTTTTTGTAATTACCATATCATTTTAAAGAAAAAAGTCCCCCCGAAAAAAAATTTAAAGGATTTTAAAAAAGGGGTTTGTTTTCCCAAAGGCTTTTTAAAAAATTTTTCTTCAATTTCGGCCCGATGTTTGAATTTTTCAGTATCACTTAACCTCCCTCTTCTTTTTTTTTTATAAAGCCCTTTTTAAATACAAAAGTTCTTTTCTTGGGTGAGTAGCATTAAAAGGTAAGGCACTGACATGTAGGGGCTTTTTTTCCCATTGAAGAAGATACTGGTGAAGGATTTGGTGGAATGTAATATTTTTTCAATTTTTTGATAAAAAAACAGATACACTAAAAGGTGAAAAATTCTTTTTTCGCAATATTTTTTAAACTTTTGCGGTTACTAAAACTACCCTGTATTCGTTTTTCATTGTCCGATAATAAATGTAAAATTTTTTAGGATGAAAGGGAATGAAGGTTTTCCCGAAATATCACACCATCTGCCCTTAATTCTCGTTTTTTTCATTTTAGAAGAATTTATTTTTTTTCACATCTGAGCTCGCCCCAAAGGGTTTTTGACCAAAGTAAAAATTTTTTTGTTGTGTGTTTTTCCCAAAATGAATAAATAATTCTTATTGTTAATTTTTTCTATGGCATTTTTAAAAATTTTATACCCTTATTATAAATGTTAAAGTGTTATAAGTTTGGGCAAAGGATCCAAAAATGCACACAAATTTTAAGGTCAATTGGGAAAGGCCCGTGTTTCATTTGTAATACATAATTTTTGGGGGGCCCCATTTGAACAGTATAGCGTTTTTAAAATTTAAATTTAAAATTTTTTTTCATAGGCCCAATTTAACAATATTTAATTAAAAAATATCATGTTTTTTTTTTACAAAAATTTAAATAAATTTAAAAAAAGTTTTGAAAATAATTTTTTTTTTGTACTTCGCAGGGGCCCCACAAACTTTTCCCCCATTTGCGTCTATTTACCCAAAAAACGTAGCCAAATTTTTTTATTATTTTTTTTCTACCCACTATAGTCGTTATTTTTTAAGACTAAGAAAACTTGCCTTAAAAAACACCGACATTATTGTGGAAAAATTTTTTTTTAAAAATGTGTGCATAAAAAAGATTTATTTTTGGGCTTCCCTTGACCTGCGCGTGATCACGTTATACTTCTTTACCTGACCTAAACATTATTTTTTAGGGCCCAAAGCACACGACAGGACCCCCCTAAGGGCGGTTTCTTTTGACGATCAAAGTGCCGAAAGGGGGTTTTTACTTTTACCTTCCTGAATGATTAGCTGTAAAAATTCCCCACCCTAATAAAGGGGGAAATTTTTTTGGGGTTGGGGGAAATGGGGGTCGAAGAGATATAACCCTTTGGGCCTTTTAAAACCCCTTCGAAAATTTTCTGGAGTTTATTTTCCCCACTCCGGCAGGGAAGCTGTATTTTATTTAAAACGTAGGGTCCAGTTTAGCACAAATTTAGGATCGCACGTTTTAAATTGAGTTACCATTTTTTTTGGGCCTGGTCAACCCACTATTACCTAACCGGGGAATAATACCGTAGGGGTACCCTTTTCATCCCCGTAATTGCACATTTGGTTCAGAAATAAAGAAACCCGGGACCCTTTGCAGAAGGCTGGGATAACTTTTGATGCCCCGTTTAGATTAGTTTATTAACGCGTGGTAGTAAAACTTGTCGTGGTTTGGCACGCTTTTACGCACGTGTTTTTTGTATTGCCCAGTAGATGTTCGTGCTCATATTTTTGCCATTTATATACACGTTTTTTAATTAGTTGATTTAGTACACGCCTTTAAAAGTTATAGTTTTTTTTAAAAATTATACAAGTTTTGGCACTTTTTAGGGTTTGTACATATTTTCAGCGTATTTATTGTTTTTAAAACGAAAATAAAACCTTTTTTGTTATTTATTACCATTTACAAAAAGGGTATAACAAAAAAAAAAAACACAAAATTTTTTATGTTTATTGACGGCAAAAAATGCATTACCAGAAAAACGAATACCTCAACAAAAAAAATAAAAATTTTTGAATATTACTTAGTCAAAATTAGTTTATAGAAAAAAACTAGTTTCAAAAAATTTTTAAAACCATATAAAAGTTATAAGACAAACATATAATATTCTAATAAAAATGATTAAAAAAATTTTAATTTTTTTAAAGCAAAGTCTTGTACTGAGTCAAAACCGGGTCAAAACCGCATAGTTTTACGGTTCCCCCTTTTTATTTTAAATTTTTTAAGTCCAAACTAAGACCATGCACATTTATTTTTACAACTACTTAAAACTAAAAATAATTTACAAATTCAAATCTTCTAAAAAAAGAAAAGAATTTCTTAAAAAACTAACTTTTGCTTTAATAGGAACAAAAAGTACTCACAGTTGCACTTCACAAAAATGCAGTCCAAAAAATTTACAAGTGGGTTTCCCCTGGATGCACCCTATCTTGCTTGCTTAATTTTGGGGGGTTGATTTTTGCCAACCCGGGATTTTTTGTTTTAGAACGCTCCGGTTTTTGGCAAAGTATAACACACGGCGCGTGCGACTTCCCATACGGGGTTCTGTACCCTTTGCACACGACCCTGCATACAGGGGTTGTACTCAAAAAGCGTAGCGGCTCTGTAGGACCAATTTTTGAAGTAGCAGGTTTACTATTCTGTGGAAAAATTTTGAACTATTTGTGGATAACAAAGTTGGAAATAAAAAAACAACTTTCACCTGATCGAGTAATTGCTCAAAATTAAACAATTTTAGGTTAAAAAATTTTATTATACTCAAGAACTTTTACGTCCATTTAGGAGCATAATATAAAAAAAAACAATGAAATTACAAGGAACAGCGATCGTACTTTTCTAAAAAGACAAAAAAAATAAGAAAAGAGATTGCTTTGTTTATGTTTTATGTACTCACACGAAATTTTATTTTGTCCATATATTTTGTAGGGATTCCTTTTTGGTTAATAAAACCCAGTAAGATATTATAAATAGTGTTGATTTATATGGTGAAATTTGCACCTATAAATCAAACAGTTTATAATATGCCGCACTTTTGTTACTTTATTTCTAGTAAAAACCCAAAAAGCCCGGTATTTTTGAAAAATTCCAACAAATTACGATGCCCGAGGAAAATACACAAACACCTTAGGTGAGAATTTTTTCATTGTAAAAAGGAAAGGTCATTACGAAAAACGGAAACTTGAAACATTTTTATCATACTCGATTACGAAAAAAAACAATTTTGGAAAAATTTTAAAATTTTGTTTCAATTAATAATTTTTTGGGATATTTTTTTAATTGAATAATTAATTTGAACAGCAAACATTAATTACAATGGTTTTTTTATTTTATTTTTTTTTTTGCTTTAAAACAAAAATGATTTTTTTTATATTTATTTTTCTGAAAAAATTTTTAGAATGATTAGTGATTAGAATGAAGTAGTTACCGTTTTTTTTTCTTTTCCCTTTTTTTTTTTTTTCTTTTTTTTAAAAAGAAAAGAATATATTTTTTTTTTTTTAATTAAAAACCACCTAAGAAATACCCCCCATAGCTGTGGTCGTCGGTTGCGACTGTTTTATTTTTTTTTTTATTTTTTAAAAATTATTAATTGTTATAGGGTATGTGGCGACACCCCACGTTTTATTTAATGAGTTTTTTTTTCTAAGCCAGCGGACGCAAAACTCGATAGTAGTCGGTTACAAGCCTCATACCAATCACACGCTTTTCGCGCACCGACTGCCCGGTTTAAAACCCTTTCTGTGGATTTTTTATGGTCGTGTGATACAATAAACTTGGTTAACTCCTAAATCGAGTATTTTTGCATCTCACTCAAAAATCAGATAGTATTTAAAAAGTGGGGACCCCAAAAGTTTTTAAACATAACAGGGGGTGGCGATTCGAATAACGCGCTGGGCCCGGTCAAACGCCGAGATTTGTACTGAAAAAAAAGAAAACCACTGGAAAAAATGAAAGTGACCGGGGAAAAAAAGTTGTCGCAATTACAAAATTATTTGGGGCAAGCAGGATCCCCCCCGTTGTGGAGGGAATCCCAAAATTGTGGTTCGCGCAATTCGAGGCCATAATCACGCCCCAAAAGGTCGGCCAAGACCCAAGTTTGACCTGGGATGGGAAATTGGAAAAGGAGGAAATTTGTCTCATCAGGATTTACTACACGACCCCAGAAGAGTTACGACGATCAAGGCCCGGCGATTAGTGAATTCCAGGACACACCCGGGCACGCAAATTTAAAAAGCTTATGGAGACCTGCAAATCGGGGGAAAAGAGGCCATCGCAGCTATTTAACGGACCCGGGACAAAAAGGGGACACGGCCAGGAAAAGCAGGTGGGGGAATTTCCCCCAAAGAAAAACAGTTTAGGGCCCCCAAAAAAGAACGCGGGAAAAACTCGGAGCGATTGCGGATAAAATACATCAACCACAAACAGGGGTGATAGCGGAAATAAAGGAGAGACGAAGGATAGCAGCCAAAATGGAAAAAAAATGACGGAGAATTTCGAACGTGCGCGGGGAGGTACAGCAAATCAACCAGAGGGCCCCGAAAAGGCAGAGGCAGAGGGGCCACAAATCATTAGACCCCCACAGCAACAGAAAGACAGTATGCGCATACCCCAGCATCGGGAAAGGTTTTGCGAGGAACTGTCGCAAAAATGCGGTGGAGAAGAGACTACCCCCCCCCCGTCAGTTTCGCAGCGAGGTACGAGTTGGGAAAAAAGACAGAAAAACTAAACCGACGCTCCCTGTGCGGGAGGGGGGGGCGGTGAAACAACCCCCCGGAAAACGAAAAAAACCTATCACCAAGGGGAACCCCAATTTCCG